ATTATTTGTTTCATTCTGCCGTGAATTATGTTGTAGGGTCGACATTTCGATTACGATGTGTTCTGTTAACAATAAACTGATAAAATACTCATTACAAATAAGAGTATTTTGTCGGTTTATTGTTAACAGAAAACGTCGTAACCGAAATGTCGACCCTACAACATAACTCACGGCAGAATGAAACAAATTTGCTTACTTCTAATCCAGCCACTTCTAATGCAGCAATTCAACTGTGGCGTTAATTTAATTTTTACTTTTTTTTAAACGTATATATTAACTTTTTAACCGAATTGGTTAACTTTTTAACCGAATTAATTGTTATGCGACACTGAAGATGGTCCTATAAAGGTCCGAAACGGTTGTAGTTTTTTACTTAAATATAGAATATATGAACACCAACACCTTGTTACGGCTCGACGCTCCATTTTCTTCGAATGATTTTTAATCTTGTGTGAGGGCCTTTATTATTATATTTATATTTTTATCTTTGACTTTAAATCGCGTTATACTTATTTAAAAACTAAAGTGATAAAGGTGTCCCAGACATAGGTCTTAAGTGTCTCGGCATTGGTACATTTTACCTTAATAGCCGTTCAGGCTAGCGTTAGCTTCATCGCGAAGAAGGAAGAGAAGCGCGATCGCAAAAATCGTAAGCTTCTTCGTCCGCGGAAAGATCGAGGATTTCTCTCGCTCGCGTTCTATGTGCATCGCGTATAATGCATCGCTCGATATGGATATAAATATAGCCCTGGAGCACCGCGCGGGAGATGAGGAAGACACGGATTCAGGCGCGCGACGTGCATCGATCTCACGCGCGCACGTTGTCTCGTAAGTCCGCGTATCCGTTCTGCGTTCCGCGGTTAATCCGAAGACGAGTTTCAGCCCGGCCGCGGCGCCCGCGCGCGGGATATATATCCGAGAGATTAGAGCTTTAATCGCAGGGAGTCTAATTGCTCTCCCGAGGCTACGGTAACTGTTCCAGACTGGTACGTTGTGTGCCAAGAATACCGGATCTTCGAGCACACATACCAGCCGCGCCGGCGAGCACGGCCCGGGAGAAAGTCCTCCGAACGTGCGATATCCAACGTTACCGTTTTGCAAAAAGACCGTTTTCCAACTCGTACATACACCCGCGCGTCCCGGACGATGGACGGCCGTTACGCGTTCGGATATCGACGGATATAATGACATTCACGCGGCGAAGTTAGATTTGCATTGCAAGTTGACGTTGTCCACTTTAAGCTTGATCGGTGGCAGCACCGTGACCGAAATAAACGTAAAATACTTTGATAAAGCACGGCCGCTCGCTAGACAACCGGGATATGTCTCCGACGCGTGTTTTAATGCCGGTTTACGAGATATCGGAATCTATAATCCGTCGTCTATGTCGATCAAAATGTTCCGGGGAACTATTTTCGCGACGCGGAGCTATTATCGAGCTATAGTGCTTTTTCTTGGACGACAAAGCTGCATCGTTTGCGCGGACACGATTGCTTTTAATTGTATATACATTTTAATGTAGGTGTGCTTTTAATTTAAAGTGATGCATATTCTGAAAAGTAAACATCGTTAAGATATGACGATGTTTATGAAAATGTAAACTCGGGTAAATGTTCATTAAATTTGAACGTTCAATATTGGTGCCGCACGTGTTCAAGTTCCCATACGGGCGATGTTCTTTTTAGCTGTGCAGATTATTGATTTTTGGGCTTGGCCCATTTCTGTTCCCCGAGGTCTGCAGTTAACAACCGCAATTTTGTCGCTTTTTTCCCCCGCTGACAAAAGCTCGTGCCATTTTGCCTTGATATTAGTTCAGCAACCGTGAAAGAATGTACAGAGTGTACCAGAAACGTTAATTAGAGGGAATATTGGAAAGCGAAAATAAAAAATTAGAAATTAATTCAATAGAATGCGTTTCTAGCAATTTGATGAGAGACTTTATCTTTTCCTCAAAATTTGGAATTAGGACGTTATACACGTTGGTAAGTGGGCCTCATATTTTCTGTGAATTTAACAAGTCTCAGTTCGAAATCCACTTTTTATTATCTAATTTAACTCTTTTAATATTTTAAAAGAATAATTAAAGAAAAACTCTTTAATCTTCAATGATAAATTTGCAATTAAGGCCTCGACATTAAAACGTCGAGTTTCTTTAGTATATCTTCAGTCGAGAAGATGTCCAAGAGGTCTGGGACACCCGATGTAAAAGGCAGACGGGACGAAATTTATTTGTTGCCGTGATCTTTCCTTTCTTTGGTCAAGCTCTTGCAATGAGTCTCTACTTATGTAGGTATCTAGACAACAAAGCAAGATCCGTGTGAAAGCCGCCTCGGCGCTCTCCTGAATGGTCGCTGACGTCAGAGAGCGAGGAAAAATTGCGCAATTTCACCATTCTGGTCGACGCGGAATTTGTTCGCGCAGCTTTCTTCCGGAATTGGATCTGCTCGAGGAGACGGAACAAGAGAGAGAGAGAGAGAGAGAGAGAAAGAGAGAAAGAAAGGGGGGAGGATAAAGATAGAAAAAAAGAGAAAGAGAGAACGAGGGTGGAATGTCAATGATTCGTTTCGCAAAACACGCGGTGCATTGTCTTGCTTCTGGCGATACCTATAAGGCTTTCAATTAACATCAATTAACATACATTAGTCCATTGTTTGGTCAATAACGACGGTACGCTAATACGTTAATTACTGCTGTGAGAAAGAGACAAGGATTTTACGATATTCCATTCATAATTATTGAGATCTTTAAAAGCTTGAAACGAATGTTGATTCGTCGTAGAGGACGGTAACGAGTTCTATCACGAGATACATAAGTCAAGAAAATTATATACCGTCTTATTGACTTGATTACCAAACGTGCGATAACGTTAAGTGTTATCGTAAAGATATATCGGATCATATCGGATCGTGTTAACCTCGCCGATCGATGTTGGTAAATGTTTTATGCCGGTAAAGTAGTCAGATATCATCTTGTTACTTGCTAAACGATGCCTCTCCGCTCGCAGTGACGAGTAAATTGGAGAGTTTCCTTGACCCGGATAATCAGGATTCGCGTAGCTGTGCTTAACTTACTATTATAACAGCCCGTTTACACACGTAATTCTTCCTTTGCTCACGCACGTGAGCGAGTTGCACCTACAGATGATCGAGAGAAGAAACTAGACACTTAATTATACTGTAATACGTGTTGACCTTCACCTAGGTGCCCGCGCGACGATCGTTACCGGGCGGCGAGTGTTACTTTCCTTCCGGTATCCGTCTCACGGAAATATTTCTCGGATTCCCTCGGCCTGGTTCGTTGCCCTCGAATCCTTTTCCATCTTTACAGGCACGAGATGAAACCTCTCCTAAACTCCTGTTCTTTAATCCAACGTCGAAGGATAAGAGTCAGTTTGAAACTTTACCCCTAAGTTAACTCTTACCCTAAATTTCATAGTTACTTTAAGGAGAGAGGAGGAGAGGAATTCGCTCAACTTCTTTAAGATATCTCAATCTTGATTTCATTTCCATGGCGATTGAAGTAAAGTAGCAAGGATCGTTAAAGGACTTGGAATGTTAAAGCGTGGATCGTCGCGATTGAAGTTTTTGAATGCGGATAAATGAACGCGACTCTTCAGCCTTTTCGTTAACTAGTTTCCCGAAATTTAGATTTATCCAGTAACTTGCAATTAAAATACATTTTTGAAAACATTAAAGAAGCTTCTTATACACAGTTGGAAAATTTGTGTTAAATATATATAACATAAATCACATGTGCCAAACGGTCCATTCAAATTTTTGTATTAATTTAACATATGGATGTGTTAAACGGTAACACCGATACCGTTAATATTTCAACAGAAAAGAAATGTAATTTTGATCGTAATTTGAAGTTAATTAGTGTGTACAATTAACATACGTTGAATCTCATGTTGAATCATTCCCCACTTCTGTTATGGAATAAAATCAGCACTCTTTTTCTGTGAATTTTAACACATTTAATAAATACGTTCAAATTGTGTTATTTTAACATATTTTTTAAATTACTTTAAGTTTAATCAACATAGCAGACACATGTTGAATCTACACATGTATGTGTTGATTATTTTACACACAAAAACTTTAACCAACAGATTTTTTTCACAAAAGTACACAAATTTTTCTCTTCTCGCACGGGATGCATGAAATTGACGCTGTAAAACCGTACGCGTCGGTATTCCGATAAGTATATTGCAATAATCTCGGAGAAGTGCAAGTACAAGCACAATAAAAGCGCCGCGCTCCTGAGGCCGCCGCCTCGTGGCCCTGAACGTGGGCAACCGAGGACTTTCGCTGGCATCCGGCCTGCGCTCGACTTCCGCCGTCGCGCCGATGCAACCGAGATAGAATGGGTCGTATACCGAACTCCAAGCTTGTGATTCAGCCTCGGCCGCGTTACAACCGCCGCCGACGCGGTGGTGATTAACAAAAAAAGAAAGCGACGGAGTGACGCACGTGAAGGGTTTTCCCCCCTTTGTGCTCGCGTTCGAAGAAGGCGGATTAGAGAGTCTATTCTTTTTCTTTTTTCGTAAAAGATAACCGGTCAACGGCGGGAGACCGGCGCGGGGGACGACACGTAGAATTTCGATTTTTCCGCTAGGCGACGAGCACGTCGTCGGAGCGGCCGAGGTGGTTTTTGGTGAAAGCCGACGACTCCGAGAGGGGAGAGTATATAGGCCGCGTGTCGTTTCAGGCGTGCTCACAACTAACGCACTCGCCAAAGTCGCCCGGTGTCTTTCAAACGAATCGAATATCCGATAATCGAACACCCCTTTCTCCGGCGCTCCGACCGTGTAAAAGAAATAAAAAAGAAAAAGAAATAAAAAAAAAGAAAAAACTCTATCTTTTCCTCCCGAGCGTTTCGGCCAGTCCCAAGGTGGGGGAGTCGTCGGCGAAGAAGAGGAATTAAGAGAGCGCTCTATAAGGGAGGACACGCGGCCAGGAAGAAGTCACAAGTGCCAAGTGTGTGTGCCAATAGGATTATATCGAGCTGCCGGCTGAGCCACGAAGAGCAAAAGAGGTTTGTGGCCATTTGATATTGTGTTGGTCGATATTGTGTGATCAGTGACACGACTGTCTGATGAACCAGTGGTGCGATATAGATATGCGTATATGTACGTTTCGTTGGACACAACGATTGCTACGCCCTTTTCTGACGGTGAAAGTAAAGACCGGTGCACACGATGGCAGATGAGACAGTGCTTATCGAACAGATGCCCCGATATCTCACATCGTAATCGCCGCTAAAAACTAGCTGCGATACATTTCCGTTTCTCTATGTTGGAATTTTTTTTATTTAGGGCCGGTTGTTCCGACCTGTTGGTAAACTAACTGATAGTTAAATCATATGTCCATCCTTGTTTTATTTAAAGTAAAAACAAAGACATATGTATGAACTATTAGTTAGTTTACCAATAGATTGTGGGACAACCGGCCCTTAGGCTGGTAGTCGGTTCTTATTTCAAGACCGTCTTAAGTTATGTCTGAAGACGCTAATACGGCTCTGTAATTGGTTCATAACACCTTAAGATTGTACTTAAAAAACGGTCTTAAATATAAGTTCCGACTATGAATACCGGCCTTAGAAAGAAGGAAGTAAAGCAGCAGGTATAAGTAATGTTTTTTAAATAATTAGCTTTCTGTTGGACTTTCTCAACGATTGTATATTTTCTTTGAATTTGGCACTTGCTCTCGCGTTAATTAATTATTTAATTTCATTTGTTTGGAACGTCTTTGGTGTTGTCTTTTCGGTAAACGCGCTTCGTCAAAATTCTTCGACACCGCGATCGCCGGCTTCTCTTCGTCGCTGGAGAGAAGAGCGCGAGGTAAATCGCTTCCTCTTTGACTGTCTCTCTCTCTTCTCATCTCCCCCACTCGCGCCTCGCGCGGTCTCGCGCGAGCACACGTCGAAAAGGCAAAAGGGTATGTGGGGTAGCGAGTCAGTGTGTCAGCGTACTGGCGTCTCTCCTCGCGGAGAGGCGCGTCCTTCCTTCTCCGGCTCTATGTCAGGAATAAGGCCGCGCGTAGGTAGAGGGAGGCCATCTGCTATGCGACGCGGCACGGCGCGCCGGTTCGTAAAGAGGCGAGAGAGGATGAGATGAGACCGCGCGTCTCTAACTCCACGATGGGATATAAACGTCATGCTCGAACACACATCGCGCTCCAACGAAATCGATACGCATCTCGATTAATCTGCCAACGAGTAATGAAGTCGACGGTCAAGTAGCCCGAGATATCCTCGTTGCACCGAAACTCTCTCGCGAGCTATTAATGCTAATAAAGTTGATTAGCCGGGAGGGGGAGAGGGCAAGAAGGCGGGTGATAATTTTCGAAGGATGCCACGCGAGGCGATTGAACTTTATCCTCTGATCCCCTTAGCCGTGCGGCAGTCCGTTATGCTTTCTACCATGGTTTTCATAAGTTCCTTTTGTCGCGACATGATTTTCCGCTTTTCTGGGCGCGATTATGCGATTGCGGCGGGGCTCGTTAGCCGTTGAAATTCACAACGCATCGTAATAGTTCCTGCGCTCTTAGAAAGGCCACCGGAGTGCAATTTCATGCGCTCAGCGGAACGGATCTAGAAATCATTTGTCGGCCAACGGCCAGCTGTGTGTGTGTGTGTGTGTGTGTGTGTGTGTGCGTGTAAGAGATATCTCTGCGAATTTTGGCGAGCTCTGCTCGAATCTATTGACGCTGACTGCCGAGCGAGGGAAAGAGTTAATGCAGTGTGAAAATTTCAATCGTTACTAAAATTGTTACAACGATTAAGTCTGTAGATAAAGCTATCATTTATAAAGTAATTTAACTTTACCAATTGTTATCAGTTATGAACATAACGCACAGATATTCTTAAATTACGAAAGAAATGATTCTTACATAATTTTATACGTAATTACATTTTTTATTTTTAATGGCAAGTAATAACATCTATAACTGATTTAATTTGACCTCGATCGAGAGAAAGAACGAGAATTTCAATTATACTAAAATTATTACAGCGAGAAAGTCTATCGATAAAGTTACCATTTATAAATTAATTTAATTTTGCCAATTATTATCAGTTATATTAGAATATAATTCTAATAGATACTCGTATCTTTAAATCACAAGAAAATGATTCTTTTATAATTTACATACGTAATTATATTTTTTAAAGGCGAGTGAAATATATAATTGACGTTATTTTCAAATAAGTCAACGTGAATTGTAATTTACTTGTTAGACTGGAGATTGTCATCGCAGCAGTTAGTATGCTATCCGAGAGTTTAATCATAGTAATGAAGAATTAAACGACGACGCTTCGAAAGTACATCGCTTTCCCAGCTCCTCCGCTGGAGATTCGAAGGAACGATTCGCGAATTATATGACGTATGCAAAAAGAATCTAGTACCGCTATAAATATCTCGATCGCGCGCGCGGTTGCGGTTTATCGCGCGCGGAGCCGCCTTCCCACTCGAGTCACTTTCACGGGAACGCGCCTGAATTTGGCGCACGGCGCGGCGCGGCGGTCTCATGGTGTTCCATGTCGCGTCACATTCTTATAGGGTTTCACCTGGCGTGTGTGTCTCGCGGTATAACGGTACCGCTGTTACGTCACGAGCACACACCTGTCACGCATATGCGGCGAACAAAGGGTTGCACCACACCGGCCCGGTAAAATAATAACGCGGAAGGAGGGGACTCTCTCTGATGTGCTCGCGCATCGTCGGATATCTGATTTCCGTAACGAGGTAACTTGGCCGTTGTAAGAGTGTGTTTTCTTCATCGCGGGGATATCTGTAAGACGAGCGTTTCCGCCGTTTCCTCTTTGGACATTTTATTGTTCGTACGCGTGGGCAGATTAAGCGTCTGTTCGCTTAAACTTAAACCACAATTCAACCAATTATATTCTTTTAATATCGAGACTTCCAAGAATCCTAACATTGATGACATCGAAAAGTAATTTGAGCTATATGTTGAGAAAGTTAATGAAAATTGGGAGAATCGATTAGAACTGAGGGTATGAGGGAAGCGAATTGGAATCATGTAACATTTTGTTAAATGTGCATGTGGATTAACAATGATTTTGTTACGCGAAAGTGTTATTGAAATAAATTTGACCGTGCATTAAGTATGCAAACCGCAAAGTGCGTGATGTTTGCGGAAGTTTCTTTCTTCCCTCGATTAGACGTGATTATGTAATCAGTCTTCTGATTAGCAAAAAGAAATCAACAGTAATTATGCGCCGCTGATAAGAAATGAGGTCGCGCTACACCTGATCGCTTTCTCGTGTTTTTCGTGTTATTTCGAGCACATTTATATAATTCATCGTATCTTTGTCATTTTGCTTTTTCTATCTATCGCCTCGTGTCTTCGTATCATGCGATGAAACCTCATTATATGTAATCAGATAAATGATATGCGTATATATATTTAGCTACGTAACATGGTATTACCAATTAAACAAAATGAAAGAAAAGTATTCCTGATTTACTCTATGATACTATACCATATACTGCGCTATATACTTTGCTTATCACTTCTCGGGTTATCATTTCACGGGGGATTGCTTTCTAAAATTAAAAACCCGCTTATGAATCTGGATTCTACGTCGGCGAACCGTCTTTACGTCACGTACTGGAAAACAGGATTCTCTCACTCGCATGCGTACGTTTTTAGATTCAACATACAAATGTCCTTTCTTTCTCTCTTTCTCTCTCTCCCCCCCCCCTCCTTTCTTTATATCTCTTTTCGTTTGGCTATTCCTCAGACTGTCAGATTGTACGGTTTCTCGAGAGTCACGGGCGCTTATGTCTGTATGCATATGTAAATCCCGGAGTACACGTAAATACCGGATTTTATAGCGCGCGTAAGTAGGCAGTCCTCTCTTTTTCTCTGCGGAAGATCCTCGTCACACCGGCGAATTTGGGTCTCCGGAACGAGATTCTTAGAGTCTAGTTTGTATTTGGAATAGATCGTCTCGCTGGACTCTCTCCACGATTTTCGATAGGACACCAACGAAGTCGGCCCGGTGATTAATTTTCGAGGCCGCTTTCTCTTAATAGCCCGCCTTTCTATCGATACACCTTTTTGGGACATCAGCGAGTCTGTCCGAATTTTCGTTTCGTTGCTCACGTGCATTGTACGCGATGCTCATGATAATTACGCCCGACTTTCTCCTGGGGATATATTATTAGAAATATAATATATACGAGAATTATACACGTGGAAAATATGAAATCTTTTCTCCTAAAATAACATCTTGATTATTGAGGACACGTTTTTTTTTTAATTTAGATACAAAATTGCTTTTTACAATAAAATATACGCATAAATATCAATTTTAAATAAATGGGTGGTATACCACCCATTTATTACATATATGTATAAATAATGTGTTATCATTAGAAACAAAATAATTTTATATATAATGAAAAAATAATTCAGACTAAAGTTCCCCGAGTTTAATAATTATTGTTAAATTAATCATTTAGGATTTAGGTTAAAAAGTAACATTTTGATTGAAGAAAATATGTTCTTAAAGAATTTTAAATATTAAAATTGCCTTTAACAATTAAATTTATGAATCATAAATATTATTTTTGGTGAATGTCATAGATAAATATTATTAGAAATAAAATAATTTTATCATGAGAAAGCAATAATTCAGAAAAAGCTCTCCGTGTCAAATAATCGTCGTTAAATTAATCATTTAGGTCATTTAGGATTAAGGCTACAAAAATACACATCTCGCTGTAGGTAATCACATTAAATATCCGTGCTAGTTCGGTTGACTCTGAAATGTCGCGTCTCTGATTCAACTTTTCAGTCGAGGAAATTCAAGTATTAATATAATTGCTTGATTGAATTTAGCCCTGAATCGTGTGCGACGGGGTAACTATTGCCCCCAAACAGACGATGAAGATTTAGCGGGGTGTTGACTAAATTTGTACGAGCTCGTGATAGCACGACGGGCGAGCCGTCCAAACCAGATGGTCCAAGAAGCAAAGCGCGTCGCTTCGCAGTGACTTGCCGGAAACCGTCTGTGGATTATCTTTTTCTTTTCTCGAACGTTTCGTGGCAAGTCGCGTCGACACTTTCGGAGCTCTTAATACGGTGTATTCGGTATGGTTACCTTTTGGCGTCAATCAAACGCACAAGGGACCTCGTACGCTCTGGCGGAGATAAAGGGCTAACCCGGATGGCTAAAAAAGGGGAAAGAATAATCGAGGTGAAAAAATTCGATGAATGAAGGCTCGCCAGGCCTCCCTTTCAGGTAAAAAAAACCAAGGGAGGGTGCAACCTCGTCCACAGAGGAATTTTCGAATACCGATTTAATTCTTCGAAAGGAACTATACGCGTGAAACATGATCCAACATGAAATAACGTCATTAGATTCCACCTGCTATAATTCCACCTGTCATAACGGTCTCGCACTCGGATGTGGAATTACGCCAGTACTAATTATAAGAATACTTTTCGTCCAAGTCAAATTATTAGAATGAATTTGCGTTCGGGTGATATTAATACGATATATCTCGATAACACATCACTCATCGCGTTATTAGAAATTCAATTACTTTAATTTGACATATGACGTTCGATAAAATGTGATATTAGAGAATATTAAAATGTTTTCGCGAAGACATTGAATGAGCCTCAAAAGTGCTGAGACGGAATAAAAATGCACGAGAAGATCCACCTACCGGAAATATACGCGCCGGCACCGTAATCTTCGCGCTCGGGAAATCAAACGTTGGAGAAAAAGAAAAAAAAAAGAGGAGCGTACTTACCGCAAAAGAGAACGCGTTCACTCGCACTTTCGCGTATTATCTACCGTATCGTTATCCTTCGGCGTACGTACGCCGGCTACCATAAGCCATTTCCGGATGGACGAGTTAGCACCATGCGGGTGAGAAATCTAGGTCAGACCCATTGCTGTCCGGTTGGCTTTCGAGTTTCGTTCTTATCGGTCGTGGCATTACGCAAATGCAGGCGCGAGCGCAGTGCTCTCGCGGAAGATTTCGAGAAATGAAAACGAAAGCGCCGAACAATGCGAGTGAGCGAATGCGCGGGTCCGCGAGATAAGCGCACATATCCGGGTATTCATTATTTAGGGCTGTTACTTCGAAGGCTTCGATATTCGAACTTCGGAACTTCAAAAAATCAAAAAATTATACAATTGTTAATTTAATATAATAGTAATAGTACCGCAATAAGGCACACATTTATAAAATTATGTGACAAAATCCGTATAAAATTTCTAATGTTGCAATTATGTCGCAAATATAGTTTTCGAAGCTTCGAAGCTAACTTCGAAGTTGTCGAGGACTAACAGTCCTAGTATTCATATAAGTGATCGCGGTCAATTGTTCTACTTGTTCGATCATTTATTGAACGGTATCGCATCTTTTGATAATATTTTTTTTTTTAGCTAGTTAGAAATCGCGCGAATCAAGCTAAGTAAGGCCTTTATTACCAGGGAAAATCCGTTCTTGAAGAAGTTGCGACAAACGCGCGGCGCAAGTCGCTTCCGTATTCCGCGCGAGTATTACGAAATCTTGTGCATTGCTCGCGCGGTCTTTTACTCCCGACGCCGGATATATGACGGCCGTCCGGAGGACGATTCGCGAAATTGGACTTAGGAAAGATCAGCAATCGTTCGTGTGTCGTGACTCAATTCTCAAACGGGGGAAGCGTTTCAACGAGGGGGACTTCCGCGATTTCCTCCGTGCGCGATTTTTTGAAATTGGAGCCAGTTCGCAGCGTGGCGTATATAATACGCTCCGTTTTCCATCGGGATCTCGCGATACGTCGTGTTATTCGAGTCACGAGCCGAGAGTATTCCAGACGAGAGCAGCTTCGTCTTCCTCTTCCCCGTTGCGACGACGGACGGTTCGCGTCCCGGAAATTCCGCTGTCTAGAAAAAAAAATTTGACGAAGAAATTTTCGATCGCGACGCCAAAAACCGATGCTCGCTGCATCGCCCGTTAGCGTCGCGCGAATTTGGAGTACCCTCGCGGCGCGGACGCTCCAAAATTTCGCGCGCTCCGGTTACGGTTTACATACGGAAGCGAGTTATACGCGCGTTGCTGCTGCAGAACTCGTTATCGCGCGATTCGCAGTGGAAGAGGCGTTGTACGTTGCAGCGCGCATCACTTACGTCACTTTCTCGTTACGGCGTTTCTAATTTTAACCTTTTCATCGAAAAATCCTTTTTTTCTCTTTAACTGAAAACTTGAGACGCGCGTGACGCGGATATCTCGTTCCCGCGCCTGTCTTTCACCTGTGCCGTCTTTCAGCTGTCCCTACCGCTCTTGGAAGAAGAGAGAAAGAAGGAGAGGAACGCGAGCGAAAAAAAAAGAGTAGGGACGATCGTGGGGCGCGATGGTGGGAGAGCAATGCCGTCGACGGTGGGCCTGTTTGGGCCTTACGTCGTGTGTTCAGGCGGGAGGGCGAGAGGGGCGACGGACGAGCGCGATCGAGATCTTCAGTAGGTCACTGGGACGTGGCTCGTGGCCGAGACGAGTGTGGCTCGCACCTTCAGTCGATCCCCGTCGGCCAGGAAAATCACCTCTGGGCCCGTCGAATCCTTGCGGTCGCACTGGCGAGAGCACGACGGTAAAAAGTAATAAAAAAATAAAAAAAAAATAAAAAAGGACTCCGAGGGAAGCAAAAAAAGCAAGCGCGCAGCAGGACCCGATGAGGACCAACTGACGCGAGTTGTCGGAGCCTTCCCGTTGCGGTCGGTGCATTCGTGGGTTCGTTAAAGGGGGAATAGCCAGGTGGTTTTTTCGCGGGGGGATCGTCCGAGTGATCGCGCGGGTTTCTTCGGGTAGAACGAGGCGCCCCAGGAACCGGAAGTACACGCAACGAGGTGCATCGATTAACGTCCTTCTTCCGCGAGACCGGTCCCGAATGCGGTTCCGCATTCCGCGGGGAGCTGTCGCAGTCGCGCGTGCATTCGCGTATGTTCCTCGAGAGATATTGTCTGACGAGTTGATCCGGTGCACTTGTTGCACTTGCGAATTCTTCGTCGCGAATTATGTCAGGATTACGGGATGTTAATTTGGATTTCAACGAACGGACGAGCAACGCGAACATCGCGGACCGTGAAATAAAATTTAATTGCCTCCTCGTCGTTGCCGATTGTGATTATTGAATACTTTGAGGGATTGTAAGGTCTATGATGTGTATAGTGACTTCACGCGGTGTTGCGCGAGTGGAAATTTGTTTTTAAGATTAAATAGATTTTGGGAACACTTCTAATTGTAAGTTCCGTGTTTTGAGATGTGACGGTTCATTGCGTAATGTTTTTCGTGCAGTCATTGACATAGTATATGTGTGCCACTCGGCGATCATCCGACCGGCGATAAAATTGACAATTATGCTTTGATCGGGTTGTCACTCTTGCATTCTTAATTGATGACTATCAAGATCTTATTTAATCGACATTATTTATGCCGTATATGTTATTAAGTCCATCTATTTTGTTATGTTATGAGTGATGAAATAAAAAACCATTCGGAAATTTATCCTCTTTGGGGATCGATAGATTACGAGGCTCGCGATAATGTGGCTATCAATTTTTCAGGTTTTTTTTCTTTCTATTACAGAGAGGACACGCACATAATGGAGAGGACGTGGCGGAATATACGGAAGACGGCCTTTCTCTTATCGCTGCCCTTACTATTGGCCGTGAGTCAAGTTACTTTCTCAAAAATTAATCATAGAATTAAATCGCTTTCTTGTATATTAACAACAATTGTAGATAAGTTGGGCATGAAGCAATATGTTATAAAAATTTCGGCCTTTTGACTCTTTCTCTCTTATCCTTTTTCTCAGCTTGTCCTTTATAAAAAGAATAAAAGAGCTTTCAAATATTTAACAGTGCAGTTAATTAATAATTTACTCACCTCAATTTATTTATTTAATTATTCATTTAATCTCCTTTTTTTCCCAAACAAATGAGCATACACGATTGACGTGCAATGTACGCGTTTCGCGAATTCATCCCGCAAATAAATCGAATCAATCTCGCGAGAGCACATTGTCAATTTTCTAACTCCACGAGAGGCCTATCACTGCCATTCTTCCCGTGTACGTGCATCGCGCGATACGTCCGTTCATAATACCCCACGGTACAAATTTGCATGCCACGACGATCGACATTGTAATTTCACTGCGCAATAATTCTCAGTTGAAACAACGAAGATTACTACTCGCGGTTAGAGCGAGTATTCTCTCCCCCTCCTTCGAAAAGTGACAGACAGGTCGTTAATACGGTAACCGTTATGCCGCGCCGCGTAAAATGGGTGAAGTTATTTACACACCTGTAGTGTGTACATTGTATCGTACGCGCGTTTTGTGACGTTTTGCGAATTATTTTACGTTTAGAAATAGAATTACCGGCGCGCGACGCGGTGTCCAGCGTCCCATAATTATAGCCCGCAACACGTCGGCCTCGCACGCTCTCAATATTGATTAAATCTGTCGCGAGTTGAGGCGCATACACATCGTAGACAATATAATGAATTTTGCTGATAATAGATAATTACGGGAATTTCTATGCGACGTTTATTTTCCGGATAAACGACTTTTCTCGCGGGTGATATTTCAAACTGAAAGAATTCGCAAATATTCCCGGCATTTATCGAGCTCGTAAAACATTATTTTTTTTATCGAAAAACTTCACTTCGCCTTTACCAAGCATTCTCGAATCTCTTATCCGAGAATCCGCGAATCTCTTATCATCTCCAAATTAGGGGACGTCATCCAACGCGTAGAAATTCGCTAATTGGTAAGGGATCGGCGATCCCGGAGTAATTCGGAGACACTCGAGGACGGTCGACATCTCGGCGACCGTTAAAAAAACTGATGTAACCGTTAAAAAATTCATCCGGTCCCCGGCAAAAAGTGATACTTCATTGATGTTCGGCGTATCTCCGGGACCGCTATGCGACGTGTGCACGTGCCGCTGGCCGAGAATCAACACAACGTTAAGTTAATGCTTAAGAGGAATCACCGTAGCCGCGGGCTCTTGCCTGTGCCACATATATCGCTGCGACGCGGCGCGCCGATGCCTTCCGAGGCAAAAGTCTTGAATGAAGCGGGCTTGACCGCGTCGTATAATCGGTAAATACGGATACGCTCGCGGGGACGTTCGTTAACGAATGTTGATGATCGTCTGGTAATTGTTTCTGCTTACGTGGGAATTCACTTCTCCGCGTGGGAACTAAATTAGTGATTTTTGAAAAAAAGTTATTCTTATCAACGATAGGGCAATTACTTCGTGCGATTCTGCTTGTAATAATTATATATACGTCGTGTATTTTTATATTCTGTCTTCACGTGGGTCACGTTTGTCAAAAGGGCAGCATATAAACAGAAAGGAGATTAGTATGTATTCTTTGAAGTGTTTTATTGGTATTCTTGTGAACGCTCTTGCTTTGCGGTTTTCATCTTTATGGCACTATTTCTTTACGCGCTGCTCCTGCGTAAAAAATTGATTTCACAGAGCATTAATAGTTTAATTAATCGTGACAGTTCGTGTTAGCATCAACTCTGATAAATAATAAAGAACGTCTCTGGCAAGCTTCGCGCCAAGTGACATATATACTTAATTTTTGAAACACAAAGGTATAAAGAAATCTCTGCATATTCGTTTCGTTTCGTGGCCATGCGGAGATCAAAATCTATGTGCTCGTTTCGTTTACTTGTATTATTTACCCCGCATTATATGCAGTCGTTCTCGGCAACAAGACACCGTAAATGGGGGGAGAGAGACGTTGAGCGTAACGACGTTTAACATAATAACTGATGGGAGAAAACGCGGGTGTGAGAACCGAACGAGAGTCGTGTTTTGCGAGGAAACTAGCGCGTAAACTGCGGCCGTCGCAATTTGTAATTGACTTTGATATTTCGATATTTATCGAAGAGAAGACGAGCAAACGGAGACGCGCGGTGAGCCGCGTCGGGCGGGCCGCCGCGGGAGGGTGTAACACGCTATAATTTACGTGTTTCCTTTCGCGCAGCAGCGTGTGACAGCGGAATAACCAGCCGATATAATAACGCCGAATGCACAGCCGTCGGACGGCGGACGGCGGAAGATAAAGTAGGAGGAAATACGCGGCCGGGCGCATCCACATTTACGCCTCGCGCGTACCTGTTATACCCCTGTCGTGCATGTTCATCCGTGTGTACGCCACACACTCTAACACCGCGCTGACTACATAGCCGAGCCGTCGAACCGAAGATAGTAGGTCACTGCGCCGGACGCAATGCCCTCTTTCAACTATACTCTCTAGACGGTACTCTCTCTTCTTCTGTTCCCCGCTATATCTTCACTTCTTCTTCCTTCTCTCTCTTCATCGTTCATCAGCTACCTTCCTCTCGTCCTCCCACCTCTCTCCGCTTCTCACGCTTTTTCTTTTACCCGCATCATCTTTCTCGTCTCTCTCTTTCTCCCGCTGCCTCCTCTATTTATTTCCCTCTCTTTCTTCACTCCGAATAACGCGGTGTATAGTGCAAGGTGGGTACCAGTTTTATATCATTCGTATCGGACGATCAGTAACATTGCCAGTTTCCTTGAGAAGAATCTTGGCAAGGCTATTCGAAAAGTCCTTTGTGGCTGTTTCGTTTCGAATTCACACCGTTTGCGTTGCGTGTATCGCATATTTAGTCCGAGCACTTCGAATTCTACGGATTAAATAAATATTTTATTTATTTATCAATTATTAACTCGTACAAAGCGGATTTGAAACACATACAAACGTGACTATATATAATTCTTCCTAAATAATTAGTCAACCTTTTAATTTCATAAATAGACAAGTTTTAATATAAGGATAACTAAAAAAATTTCAGGATGTTACCGAAATAAAATATTAAGCGTAGTTTATATCTTCCTTTTTCCCAAAACTAATTCTTTTATGTCCATTTCTACTAATGCAGATTAATTTTAATCTCGGTTTAACTTACTTTTTATCTTTTTCTAGTTTTGAAATTAAAAAAAGATAAAAAGTAAGTTAAACCGAGATTAAAGTTAATCTACATTGGTAGAAATAGATATTAATGACGCATGATTGAGTTAATTCCGAACGAAAGTGACTTTCTATCACTGTGAGGCAATAAACTTTTTTCACAGTTTCGACAGAATTTCAAAGATCTTCAAAGGTATCGTCACTTTCATGATGGACCTTTGAATAAGGCTGTGGAAATTCTTACGGTTTATCCGTAGAAAGAAACTAATGCATCTACTCTGTAGTTCGCGCGATTTAGTCGTGATATTTTCGATCCTTGTTTCCCAAGGTTCTTATTTTCTCTAATGCTATACGTGATATAAGATGGAAAGCAATCCAAAATGTACGTGCTGAATTACATTGCGACGTGTGAAAACTAATACGATTGTAGCTGCACCGTTTCCAAAAAAGCGATAAACAGAAACGAAAAAAAAACCGTGTTTTCTGAATTCTAATTTGCCTACCATTTGCGACGTTATAATATATATAATATTTTACATCTTTTAAATACGAGAATTCCACGGAAACATAACAAAATTAGATTAAAAATATGTAGTTGAAAAATAATGGAATAGAAATAAAAGTTTTCTCTCTCTTAGACCTTGTCAGACTGCCATTGACAAGTCGTAATGAATAGGAATGAAGCATTCCCTGTGATATTTGCGACTCTTAACAAACGTGCAATCTTGTGGATGACCACGAAGCTTCCCATTGCTTGTTCCGGCAGCTAGCTTAGCGATCTTGTAATTTGAAATCGTTACCGGTCTTCCCCATGTCATTTCAGTTTAACCATCGATTACGATTCTGTAATCGCGAGATACCGCTTTACATTGTACTGTGTAACTTTAATTGCGTTTTATCCGTCTGATAGAGGATCTTTCTCGCGTTTGAGAAGATCATACTATCAGTTTTCGAAGAAAAATTCTCCGCAGATACTGTAATATATATTATTTTTATTTTGTAGGAATATTGTGTGTGTGTGTGTGTGTGTGTGTGTGTGTGTGTGTGTGTGTGTGTGTGTGTGTGTGTGTGTGTGTGTGTGTG